TTCAGGGTGCCCAGGTGAGTGCACATATGCCTATACAGAATAAACTGAAGAGTTTGCAGTTTAATGTGGAAAGGTAGAAGCTACATGAGGGACAGTTGAAGTTAAGAAGGCATAAGGTACTGAAGACTGAGAATGATACACCCTACATGATATGTCATAGTGGGGGTCTGAGCCACGAACAGCCTGAAGCTGCAGCAAGAATGGGGCAGTGGTGTTTATCATCTGCATAAAGTGGGATGGGTTTCACTGCCTGAAAAGCCCTGGTGTGGATTTGTGTGTTAAGATTTACCGCCCTAAAAATAGGAGTTCATAATTGAAAAGCTGGCAGATTCTTTAATTATAGGGGAGCAAACAACATCACTAGAGAATTGTAAATACAGCCTAATTGTTACTTCTTTATTTCGTTGTTAAAGAGCCAGCTGACACAATGGCAGATATGGGCAATGCCTGTGTCTTAAGCAGCAAGATCTTCAATCAGGTTTTTAGAATGTTTCTCATTTGTCTCTCTTATGGGACTTTACATGCAAGGTCTTGCCAAATGAATCAAGAAAAAAAATAGGGAAAGTGTGAACACCGGAAAAAGAAACCACAAAGAATACATTAAAAGTGCTATACAGGGCACAGTTTAATTGAATTGTGATTTGTTGGTCTTGTAAGCACTCTCCAGAAAGGAATGACATGCTAATCAAAAGCTACCCAACTTCACCTTATTTTTAGCAGGCAAACTTTAAATGAGACAGTTTGGGATTTTGATTTCTGAGGGATATTGGACCACATTCACCCACAGGGCATTTAAATATAAAACCCTATTTATATGCAAATTATTTAGTATTTCATGTAAAGTGGATTTTTATCAACTGACCATTCTATTCTATAAGTTATCATGATGATAAAACATCCTTAGTAATGGTAAAGTGAAGGGACAAATATAATCAGAGCAGCTTGTTTCAGTAGATCTTAGACTTTCTTGGGGCATTCCTGTGAGTTACTGAAATGTAGAGCTATAAAGTTAACATATTGCCTTTCATAGAAGGACCCAGGAATAGCAGTCCTCAGAAAAGTTCTTACTTGGAGAGAGAACTCATACTGGGGAAAGTTCAGAATATGGTACTCATAAGTCAAAGAGAAATGGGAACATGCTTTCTGCTACAGAATCAAATCTCCTTCAATTGTTTGGGTTTTCTTTTTCCTTAGTGAAAACTAAGGCCAAATTCCTCATGTCTGAATTGTAACTTGTCCGGTTTTGCCACACAATACTCTTTGGACAGCTGTAGAAGAAAATGCTTCACTATCAGATCACCTCTGGCAGTAGTGAGGGAGCATCTGCTATTAGAAGGTATTCCTTTTGATAGTGGTTTACATGCAAACAGGTAATCTGGGATGGGAGGTTGGTGTGCCTTGCTAATTCTACATATTGTGTAACACTAGCAGAGATTGGGGGGTGATGAAAAGAAGAAGCAATATCTCATCAGGAAGGTCAGTGCTTCTGGCCTTTCTTTTGCCCACTGTGAAAAGCCTTAGCAAAATTAAATATATATTTGCAGTGGTTCTTTGAGAGTTTTACCAGGAGACTTTGAGCCCCAACACAGAGATTAACACTTCCAAACCTGAAACTCCTCATCTCCAGAAATGAATCTACCATCTCAACTCTCCTTGCAGGCCTTCGGTGTTAAGGATTATTACACCGAACAGCTGGAATCCACCCTAAATTTTCCCTTCAGAATCAAAAATATATCGATTCTCCTGAAAACTTTGACTACATTTATTTATTTATTTATTTATTTTTAAAACTTCTCTCAAGTTTGGAAGGCAACAGAACAGCTATCCTAGCACTGCCTTCTGGAGTTTTTGCAATGATCTGGCCAGCTGAGATGAAACTAGTATAATGATTACCCAAAGGAGACAGAGTAGACTAGGTGAATAAGAGTGTGCAGTGATCACAGATCTCACCCTCATTCTTGGGAGATTATAGTCATGATAGCCAATTGCTTTGAACATGTCTGAAGTGGTTGTTTATTTAGACAAGTTAAATGTAACAGAGCGATTCCCTCTGTTCCTGGAAACAAGTTAGTGTTTCTTTGAATTGTTTATTCCTCCACAGCTGAACTCAGGGACAGTTATTTAGAAATAATAATTTATTACAGATAGTGCTGGGTTTGGAACAGAGAACTGACCGTTTCATACACCATCTTATCTTGTAGAGAGTTTAGTATATATTAATACAGAAAATTGCGTCATTCATATGAGTGGCCTTTCCAGTAATAATATTGCCTAGAGAATCAGGTATGAATTCAAGCACATTTGTGTGACTCAGACATTCATAGATTTCTTTTAAATTTACATAGTCCTTTTAACAGGTTTGAGAGACTAGGCTCCACAAAGTGAGGTTCAATTTGATAAAAGTGATAAACAACTAGATAAAATAGATATTAACATTCTTAGTATCTGCTCCAGATTTCAACTGACTAAATGAATGAAAAAGGTCTTTGCTAATTCTTAATAGTGATAAATGTGACACTGGAATTCACAGTACTTTTAGTTTTTTAACTTTACCTTAGCAGGTTCACAACTAACTGCAACACTCAATGCCCCTTATTACCTAAAAATAGTTCTGAAAATTTGCCTCTAACTTTGATCTATTAAGTTGTTCTCCAATACAAAAATAATGTATTTATTCAACAGGCAGACATTATCACCAATTGGACTGGCAGGAGCTGTACTTTCTACACTTCAGTGAAGACTACTGGTTTTGGTATCTTTTCCCTGTCTTTCAGTTGCATGTATCAATAACAACCATATTCTGCTGTATTATTACTGCTAAGTCAGTGTAACTTATAGAAATATATTCTATACAGTTCATTAAGATGATAAACCCATGTCACTATTTATAATTTCTGTATGTCTGCACTGTATTCATGGATTCATTCATTTCTTCTAACAATACACATTCTTTGGAAACAGATTTGCCAAATGATTTGCTTGATGAACACTCTTTTAGTTTCTTAATTTTCTATAAATGGTACACAGCTTTTAGTTCACAATTCTCAATCATTCTACTAATCTGAGTAAAGAAATTTCATCGTATTGATTTCTCCTGATCTTTTTTTTATTTTTTTACAATCCAAAGTTTTACTTTGATCATGATTCAGCAGCTCATTGCGTCCCCATATAAGTTAACATTTATAGCTTTTATTATAAATGGATATTCTAATATAAACTGTGTTACTGATACTAGTTTGAATGGAGAAGTTTTCTCCAGCACTCTAGGGAACAGAAAGGTACCTCTTTAACAGACAAAATTCAACCCTAATTAACCTTATGAGGTAAATTTGCTTTCAAATATTACAGGAATGTCTGAGGCTGAATTTAAACAAACTAAAATTTTTGTAGCATCTCTTCATCAGACTGAAGATCTGCTAAAATTCTTGAAAGATCTGCTCACCATATTCATGGAAATTTCAGCTGAATTTCACTCAGTTTCTTGCAGGTACTCCGTTGTATTATATACAGAAAACTGAAACCTTGTAAATAAATTGTAATGTATAAAAAGCAGATTTTCAAAATTCTAATAGTTTCTTTATGCTTCCTCTAAGATGTCATCAGCTAACATCTATTAAATTCGTGGAAATGGAATTGGTGAAATATGTACTCACTTTCCCAGTTTGAAATCGTAAAACACTTTGAAATCACACAGATTATTTTCAGACGCTTTGTTATACCCGAAAGAGAAATCCATAATTAACAAAGGTTGTTGTTTGGAATTTGTTTCACAAAGGTGTACAGAGACATGACTGGGCATTTACAGTTTTTAAAATATTTCTATCTTAATTTCTAAATTTCCACTTTAGATCAATTTTTTAAAGAGCCAAATGAAGCAGATTCTGACACCAACTATACCGGTTTGCCTCTGGACTGATTTATATAAGTAAACTGCTACTTTGGACCTTTCTGGAAGGAACCAAAGCTGAAGGTATCCCAATCTTCACTTTAAGCTGACACTTGTATTTCAGAATTATCATTAGTGAATTAGCCCCATGCATCCTTTCAGTAATCAGCCTTATTAAGGATAAAAGCTTATCTCCTATTCTCAGAAGTAATTACAATATACCCCTGATCTCTACTAAGTCTATTAACAGAATTCTTGTTTTAATTCTTGACCCTTGGGATCAAAACCAAAATCAGAGATTAAATGAAGTTAAAAACTTATCAGTAGCCCACTATAATACAAACTAAAATAAAAAGTGTCCACAATTATTTTGTATTCAAACTTTGCTTTGTATTGTGTTCAAACACTAATCCTTCCATTTACTCTAATAGATTAAGGCAACAAAAGGGTAACTAATTGCAAAAGGGCACAGTATGGTTCAGGTTAATGCTCTTTTGTATTAGAGAAAAATTATATGTTTGAGATGGAGAAATTAAATTTTCTGGAAGAGGTCAGCATGGGAATCAAATGAATCCTTCTGATTTATGCAGAGTCATGCATTAACCACTTGAGATTTGGAAGAAAAAGACTTAAAGCTTTTTTCCTCCTGTTCAGATACTTTCCTTTAATAACTAAGACGCTATTTTGTCTTCAGAATATCAACTTTCCAAATTAGTTGAGTTCTGAAGGTCCTCCAGAGCACAACATCTATGATTAAACACTTTCTAAAGTTCATTCTACTAGTAAAAGTAGAAATTCCATTATTTTAGCAAGAACAGGCATGTCAAATTTATCAAGGCATGAGGATGGAATAGAAGTAAGGAATTTATGTTTGTAAGTTATATTCACAGGGCACAAAAGTTATTATAAACCTCATTATTATGTGGCACAGTAATAAAATGAAAACTACAGTTATTGAGACTCTTCTTAAGCCTAAATTGTGAAGGAACAATTGAAACTCTGCAAACTCTGTTTCAAAACTTTAAAAGATAGCAATCCAGAGGCAGCAGAATTATACAAGCATAACTTCTTTAGCTTGGTTTATTCATAAGAACAGCCTATACTTATAACTTACCCTCCTCAGGAGCTCTGCAGGTTGTGGAAATAAAAGCTATGTGCAGCGTTGCATCTTTCCATCCAGTTTGTAGGCTAAAAGGATGGTGGCCCCAGAAGTCCCTCCACCCAAATACAGACTCCAGTTGAACCTGTGAAGAAGCACATGCAGAAGCATCACAGAGAACCCTATAACATGATTCCTTGAGCCAGGGGTTACTGTCATGGAGAAGGTTACCTGGTTTTTACAGTTCTTTAATGATGCCAAAGCATATCCAGAAGGTGACCAAAAGCTTAATGTCTGGCTGCTCAAACAGCTAAGCAACTAATTTATTGCTAATTTTTGCACTTTCACCTCTACCACTTTTCCACATGTACTGATGTGCAGCTGAGGATTGTAAGTCAACAGGCTGCCTCTGCATCTAAGCATTCTTTCTCCCCAGAGCTGTGGCAGATATATGGTAAATTACCCCCAGTGCGCTGGAAACAGCTACTGCTACTGATCCATGGAACTAGCTACTACAGAGGAACAGAATTGATGCATGAGTGCTGCATATGGGAAATGAAATCTTAGTATGGAAGAACAGCACATGTGCTGTTTTATTAAATTTATACCTAAGTAATTCCTCAGTTTTGCTTCTTCAAGGAAAAAAATGTTATTTTTATATTTGTAAAAGGGATTTCTGGTTTTAATATCAAAAAGTTCCTGCAAAATAGAAATTCCATGCTTTGAACAACTGTATAAGGCAATTACATCCAAAGTGAAGCCATAAAATTAGAATAAAATACAAATTATTCTACAGCATTATCAAAGTGCCTGAATTACCTAAATGCCTCATGATTTTGGGCACAATTAAATTTACTAATAGGAAAGAAGTTGAATAACATCATGTTTCAGATCACAAATTGAATAACATTGTCTTACTCAGGCTAATACATTGTGACAGCTCTTGCTTAGAGTATATTACTTAACATCTGAAACTTTTGATCATAAAATTGTCTTTTCTAGAGCTTCCAAACAAATAAAATAATAATATAAGAAGAGAATGAGTAAAGGTCTAAAAGTTAATATTTCAGAACAAGCGAAAATATTTCTCAGTTAATTTAAACATTTGTCTCTATGTATCTTTGACATTTGGAGCCAGAGGAGGGGGTGTTAAGAAGTAATTGCATTCGCTGCCTTCCAGATACCTTTTATTGAATCTCAAGTGGATCTGAATTCAAGAAATGGCTCTGCATGTTTGTGTGCATAGGGAAAATATTTCTTTTGACATTTTGTTCTCTGGTAGCATTTTTATGCTTATGCATATATAAATAAATTCTTTGAAAAGCAAACTCTTTCAGTACACATTAACAAAAAGGAGATGAGGAGGCAGCTCTTAGAATTCTCTGTTTATAGGAGGGAACATCACAGATAAGGATCTTTAACATATTTAACCCTTTTCAAAAGATTTCTTTATTTTAACCAATAGGATTTTTTTATCTGTATCACTTCTGTGTAAAGATTAGGCTAATTGCAAAAAAACACCAAAAAAAGTGCAAGCACTTCAAGACACAATCCAACAACCATACAATCAATAGGCAATGGATTAAGCCCCTTATAACCACTATACAGATGGAGTTATGAATGGAAACCAGACTTTTACCAAACTTGCACACTAGCTCTGATAAACAGCATTTTCAATGATACGTCACAGAGCTCAAGTGCCTTTCTTACTGGGATTGTAATGGACTAGCACCTTCTGTTGCAAACCATCACCTGGCCTAAACTTATTTTCAGTGTATTAATGTATGTATATTATTCTCTTTGTTAAAAAATTAGTCAAGTTTTTACTTATTTCTTATTTTACAAGATTAATTAATTTCCAAATTTTTCAGATATCCATAATTGCAGATGTTTTTAGCTATTGTTTAGTCCATTTTTTGTTGATTTTATGTACTAAAGTACCATTTCAGACATGTAATAGGAATCCCCCATTTCTCACAAAGCAAACCCAAAATTCATCACAGAAAATGAAAATTGAGAATGCAATTTAAACCTATAATTTGTTACATTTCAAAGGGAGGAACAGCCGAAGTATGGGGATGGTAGCAGCAAGAAGTGACTTAGTCTACTAATCTGTAATTGGATTCTGTTTAAGGAACTGACTCATAAATAAAACAAAAGTAACCAATATCCCAACATCTTTTTCTAACAAATTTGGACAGACTCAACTATCTCCTGAGGGTGCACCAGTGGACTGGCCCCAAGGAGACAAATTTGCAGTGAAGGCCCCTCCTGACAAATTCATCCCACTTTGCCTGGAAAAGGCATCTGCAGAGCAACTCCTGTACTTCCCACCATAACAGCTGATTCCTGTGTGGTGCCTTTTCTTTTGCGTGATCGTTGCTGGCTGTGTTGATGAAGGGACTCCCACTGTGGGGCAGCGGGAGTGAGGCTGCTCTTCTTACAGAGAGTTTTGAAGGGCCCTGAGCAGTCCAAGGAGCCAGTCTGGAGCCACACACCCTCTCTGGTGCCCTCCCTTCACGGGGCACTGGCTCTCACCATGCCTTCTGGGCACAGCTCCAAAACCTTCCATCAGCAAATAAAATACGGTTAGACAGAAGAAAAAAAATATCAAAAGCTATCAAACAGAAAGATGTCACTGGAAGTTCTTGAGGCACAGGTCAATGGAAGATGAGAAGACTGCACTGGGCAAATATGGCTTTTTAGTTCCTGTCCTCTGCCCATGTTCCAGATTAGTGGGACCAACATGGCTGTTCATATGAATTCACCCAGATCCTGGACTCAGGTTCCTGAAACTGCACTCTCTAGCTGGGAACACGGGACAACAAAAATCCCAAGTCCTGCCAAGAGCAGTGACAGACATTCAAAAGTAAATGCCAGCAACAAAGCAGCATGGTGGGTGAATAAATTCATGCTGTGCCTGTGCTAGGTCAGACAGGAGACGAGCCAAACACTGCCCCAATATGTACTTCTGATGTGGTCATTAATATTTGCTGTGAAAAGTCCTGATGACTTCCACTTGTCACCATGTGGACAAGACTAGATGCCATATTCCAGAGAGCAACTTGCAGAGTTGTTATTCGAGTCATGATTAAAAAAATTCCATTGATCATCTTCCATACTAGTGCAAATACATGACACCTAGCATTATATGTCTGAATATTGTTATATTATACTGTAAAATAGCAGATGTGGATGGAATACCCTGCCAGCTTCTAGGCTGAAGTCAGTTTCATTATATTTGCAAAAGGCAAAAACAGATGTATCAGTGTACTTTATAATAATGTCATATTCCTGACAGTATAGTATAAGTTGATTTGGTGTTTCCATTAGAAATCTCATTTTCAGAGGCTTATGACTCATCCATCTGAGGTTTTCAGGATGAGATTTACCATACAGACCTCAGTCTACTTGTAATTCCTCCCCTAAAAAATTGGTCAGTGTTGGTTATCTGCACATTTTAATTCCCAAGAGCTCAAACGAACTGTCTTCTTCATGCCCTTTCATTTTCTTAACATTATCAAGTATTTGTGTCCTTCTGTACGAATATAAAAGCAATTAAGATATTTAAGTTAAAACATCATTGCTTCCACATATATGACATTCCATGTGTTTAATCAGAATGTTGAGAGCCTACTTGAGAAAAACTGTAAAAATTCTTTAAGAATGGAACAAGAGCCTACTATAATTTTGTCAGTGATTTTCAAAGCACTAGCTGAAAATCTATGTTTAATATATAAATCATAGAATCATAGAATAGTTAGGGTTGGAAAGGACCTTAAGATCATCAAGTTCCAACCCCCCTGCAATGGGCAGGGACACCTCGCTCTAAACCATATCACCCAAGGGTTCGTTCAAACCGGCCTTGAACGCTGCCAGGGATGGATCATTCACAACCTCCCTGCGCAACCTATTCCAGTGCCTCACCACCCTAACAGGAAAGAATTTCCTCCTTATATCCAAACCTCCCCTGTTTAAGTTTTAACCCATTACCCCTTGTCCTATCACTACAGTCCCTAATGAAGAGTCCCTCCCCAGCATCCCTATAGGGCCCCTTCAGATACTGGAAGGCTGCTATGAGGTCTCCATGCAGCCTTCTCTTCTCCAGGCTGAACAGTCCCAACTTTCTCAGCCTATCTTTATACGGGAGGTGCTCCAGTCCCCTGACTGTCCTCTTGGCCTTCCCCTGGACTGGTTCCAGCAGTTCCATTCCTTTTTATGTTGAGTTATGTTATGTTTTTATGTACACAATACTCCCAGGTGAGGTCTCACATGAGCAGAGTAAAGGGGTAGGACCACCTCCTTGGACCTGCTGGTCACGCTCCTTTTGATGCAACCCAGGATACAGTTGGCTTTCTGGGCTGCAAGCACACACTGAAGCCGGCTCATGTTCATTTTCTCATCGACCAGCACCCCCAAGTCCTTCTCCACAGGGCTGCTCTGAATCTCTTCTCTGCCCAAATATATACTCAAATATATTGAGTATTGTATCTAATGCTTAATAAATGCCACCGTATTTCACCCCAGGGTTGCTGTCACACATGCAGATGCATGCAGTTGACATTCAGCTACTCTCTGTAGCATCATCAAGAGGTTCTTATATTTTACGCTATCACAAGCATCACACCACTGAAGGTCTGAATAAGTATCTTTGCAATTTTTAAGCCTGTACAAGCAAATCCACTGAAGATTTATACAGGTTTTGTATTCACTATAAAACATCATTTATCGAACTCTAGTCGCAGATTGCATTTTCCAAGTTATATATGTGTGTAAGCTCGAAGCTTAACAAATCATGGTACTAATAGCTTCACAAGGTTGTCATGAAAAACTTAGAACTGATTATTCTTTTTTAAATGCCTTCAGGTTTTTATCTGAGCTATACAGAAAGGCTGGTAGGAATGTTGAAAAAATCATTTCAGCTATTACATATATCAGGAATATAGGCCTCTTTCCAAAATATGACTTAGACATAAAATGCTGGCTATTGCAACATATATATTTCCAGCATCCAGCACCCAGAGAGGAAATCAGAATCCCAGCAACTGGAGAATGGGTCATACCTGGATCACAACTTGTCAAGCAAACAGATAGAAACCTGCATAACATGAGAACTTGAGAACTTCCAAGGAAACTTGAAAGGCAATCAGTAGGGGAATTTTGAAAACTTGGATTCCATCTTTTTTTAGACTTAAAAATCAACTGGAAATATCTGCTTTGGTGATTCACAAGGATATACACTTAACAGAGGAAGGTTGCTTAAATATTACAGTCCACTACACACAGCACTTATCAGACAAAAGATAGATGTTTCATTTTTCAAAGTAGCATTTTTCATCTTCCATAAGAATGTCTTATTAACATTCTATACTACATATGAAGAGTTGAAGCTCTTCCAATTTTCTAGAAATTATTTTACTTGGCTGGGAGATTTTAACACTAAGAACTGAAGTGTTTCAGAACGATCCTGTTCTTGAACTTTGGTACCACCATCACTCCTTCAGAGAAAATGTCTCTGAACATTCTGTCTAACCTGCCTTTTATAACAAAATGACTAGATCTGTGTATGAGTAGATATCTACTGCTACCTTCATTTCAACAAAGCTTTCAAGAAAACATCCCAAAGCATCTTTGCATGGATGTGATGGCCTACATTGTTGGACTACTCAACAGTTAAAAAAAACCAACATTTTATTATCAGACACAGGGTAACACATAAAGGTTTTCTATAACAATCTATATTATTTTGTAATTGGGCCAAAATTATTATTTTTTACTCCACTCATAACTCAGTTAAGGAATACTGAAAAAGTAAATAATGTGTGTTCATTATCACATACTCAGAAAGAATAAATGCATAAGCTATACTTATTCACATGGTGTAAGGTTCTTTTTAACTATGTAGAAAGTAAAGTGGTGTAGGAGGGAAGAAACAATAGTGAAAATAGTATCCTTCCAACATGTCATCTGTTCTCTGCGCAGCTGGAGAACAAGCTGCTCCCCATAACATAACATATATCTCTTCAAAATAAGGTGTTTAAGCATGCTACCCATGCCTTCTTTATCACAAGGGTAGTACCAGTTTCACTTGATTTAACATTAGACAGCAGGTAAACGAGGCAAGATAAAAATAGAAAAAGCTTCACTTTTGATATAACCACTCTGTCACAGATTGCCCTATAATCCAATAGTGAAGGTTATAACATCTTTAACTAATTACAAAATGTAAACAACACAATGTAGAGCCATTTGTTCTCTTGATAAGATTTTGCAGGTAGGAGTCTGTCTAGCAATTAATTAGCAAAATGCTTGAAGTACAAAGGATAAAACAAAAAGGAAACCACAACTTCAAGAGGATTGTCTGGTTCAAGCTAGCAGTACCTACATCAATGTGCCTTTAAGAACAGTGAGCCAGTTAATGTTTTATCATCTTCAGTTTACTTTGCTGTAACTGTCTATCCTATGCTAATAGAAGCATATAGAAATATAACAAAGCAGAATGACTGTTCTCATTGCCTCAATTTCCCAGGTTTTCTGTTGTATATGCTCTGCTATAGATAAAACATAAAGCCTTACCCCAGTCTGAAGGGGAAGGTCTCATGCGCCATCAGGTTGAAGTGGGTTGCCTGTGTCTGCACACCACCATACCACACTGCTAAATTACCACCTGATACTTCCCATTCATTTCACTTCTAAAATGAGTGGGAAGTATCATGTCTTCTCCTGCAACATGTTCTCATAGTTAAAAAAAAAAAAAAAGGAAAATGCCTTCAGTAATATTTGCTTAATTCCTGCAAGCATTGAGCTAGGTTGTTTATAAAATCAAGGAGTGTAAAAGAAAATTATGAAGCTTTTTTTAACTGTCTCCAAAACACTTTTTAGTATGTCATTTCTTTTCAGATGATACTGTTGACCACAGTAGCAAAATCACATTTCCAAATAATATACTGCATTACAGATTTCTATTGAATAACCCCTCTTCAAATTTGTAAGTAGAAGGGTGACAAAATAGTGCATGTTTATTGGTAGCAATATGACTTAAAACATTGATAAAAGTGTGGAAGGCTAGTGGCAGAGAGTGCAATAAAACATTTTATATTCGTTCTTTCACTTGGGGATTTATTGAAGGCTTAGAAATCTTAACCTAGAAAAATAATAGGGAAGCAGGGGCTGGTGCTTTTCCCAGTCAGAGATTAATGGAAGACTGCACTTGGACTTCTTTAACTCTGTTCTTTCTTGAGAAACTGAGAAAGCCCTACAGGTTAAACACACACACACACAAATTACGATCCTACCTATCCACATCAGAAAACAAAAACAGGCAAATGGTTCAATAGTACAAGGCTACAATAAAATTAATCCTAAAAACTCATATATGGAATTAGAATCTGAAACAAATCTGAGTGGTATGAGGCTATTTCTACTGCCTACTGGTCAGGTCTTAATAATTTAGATATACTTAAGAGATAATTAGGATTTTAGCTATCAAGAGAAAAAGCAGGGCCCAGATGGTTTTCTTATCAAAATGCACTTGTAACAAATGCTTTTGTTTCCTTTGTGTTTGAAATTAAAATACTATAGAGTTACCTCAGTGTCATTTAACTGAGATGGATTTTATTTATGTATGTATTTGGTTGTAAGAGAATTCAGATTTACTGTTTTGCTCCTTCTCAGTTTTCACACGTGAAAACAAGCGAAGATTTCTACATTAGCCAGTGTGTAAAGAAAAACATATTTTAATGAGCTTGATGTCTTCATAAATATAGTATTCGTCTTGTCTCCCTCTCTATGTCATGTAAAGTATGTCAGAATCAAAGAGACCTTTTTATATTTTTTTTTTTACAAAAATGAAAAAATACAGTTTCCTATCACATTTAACATGTTAGCAGTGGCAGTGAAACGTTAGCTACTGAAATAAGAATGGGAACATTCACACTGGACAAGGACTCCTTCGCGTCTTATTCTTATGTCCTTAAACACAGTTTCATTGGGAGCAAATGAAGGTTACAACCCTTACTTCCTATGTAATGAATTCTTGCAGAAGTATGTTATGCACCCTATGACTTTTGGGTAATAAAGACAGACACAACAACATGGTTTTAGTCCAGCAAAGATGCAAGCCTTTCTTTCTCCACAAAGATGGACTACAATGGCATCAAGTACAGTACAAAAATTCCAATTAACACCTTTTCACCTCCTATATTTTTCTTCCCAATGACTGCACCAACAAATGATAAGTAATTTAGTATGGTTTTGTTATATCTCATTACAAATAAATCCTTCTTAAATTTGAATCACTGCTATATCACTATGTTAAAATAAGGTTTCAAAAAAACTCAAAAGGCAAAACACATAATAAAATCTATAACAAAAATTAAGGCTTTTGTTCATATAAATGTTTGCAACATAGGCTTAAAAATCTGCATGCCACTTCATATAGTGAAATCTAAGAAAAGAGATGAATCAGATGGAAAATCTTTTTATGGACTTCTTAACTGCAATTTTAATCCTTAGTTACTCAACATCATTCCATATGAAAAATGCTAGTTAGCATAGAAGTACAGTGATAAAAACCCACAGTTCATCTTTCAGTAATTATTTTAAGATCATTTATCAAGAACAGAATAACAAGTAATTAGTTATCAAAATGAATAACAATAACTTCCCCAGGTTCAGATTCATGATCTTCCAGTATGAACACTCACTCAAAAAAAAACATTTCTCAAAACTGCTATGAAATGAAAATCACAGTAAAGACTTAAGACATCAAATTGAATACAGAGAAATTATCTTTTTATTCAGAATTTGCATTTAAAGAGTCAAAATGAACTGGCCAACGGATCACAAAAATAATAAAAACCTCACACGATATGAATACCAAAACAATTAAAATAAATGAAAAACATCAATCTAAAAGACTAAACAACTGACCCCATTTAGTGATCAAAACTGTTAAGCACACATTTACAATAATGGATTTAAAAATAGAATCATAGAATAGTTAGGGTTGGAAAGGACCTTAAGATCATCTAGTTCCAACCCCCCTGCCATAGGCAAGGACACCTCACACTAAACCATATCACCCAAGCCTTCATCCAAACCGGCCTTGAACACTGTCAGGGATAGAGCATTGACAACCTCCCTGGACAACCTATTCCAGTGCCTCACCACCCTTACAGGAAAGAATTTCCTTCTTATATCTAACCTAAACTTCCCCTGTTTAAGTTTTAACCCATTACCCCTTGTCCTATCACTACAGTCCCTAATGAAGAGTCCCTCCCCAGCATCCCTATAGGCCCCCTTCAGATACTGGAAGGCTGCTATGAGGTCTCCACGCAGCCTTCTCTTCTCCAGGCTGAACAGTCCCAACTTTCTCAGCCTATCTTCATACGGGAGGTGCTCCAGACCCCTGATCATCCTCGTGGCCCTCCTCTGGACTTGTTCCAACAGTTTCATGTCCTTTTTATGTTGAGGACACCAGAACTATACACAGTACTCCAAGTGAGGTCTCACAAGAGGATAGTAGAGGGGCAGGATCACCTCCTTCAACCTGCTGGTCACACTCCTTTTGATGCAGCCCAGGATATGGTTGGCTTTCTGGGCTGCCGGTGCACACTGAAGCCGGCTCATGTTCATTTTCTCATCGACCAGCACCCCCAAGTCCTTCTCCACAGGGCTGCTCTGAACCTCTTCTTTGCCCAACCTGTAGCTGTGCCTGGGGTTGCTCTAACCCAGGTGTAGGACCTTGCCCTTCTCATGGTTAAACTTCATAAGGTTGGCATCAGCCCACCTCACAAGCGTGTCAAGGTCCCTCCGGATGGCATTCTTTCCCTCCAGTGAATCAACCGAACCACACAGCTTGGTGTCATTGGCAAACTTGCTGAGGGCGCACTCAATCCCACTGTCCATGTCACCGACACAGATGTTAAACAAGACCGGTCCCAACACTGATCCCTGAGGGACACCACTTGTTACTGGTCTCCAGCTGGACATTGAGCCATTGACCACAACTCTTTGCGTGCGGCCATCCAGCCAGTTCTTTATCCACCAAGTTGTCCATCCATCAAATTGATGTCTCTCCAATTTAGAGACAAGAATGTCGTGTGGGACAGTGTCGAACTCTTTGCACAAGTCCAGGTAGATGACAACTGCTCTACCCCTGGCCATCAGTTCCGTAGCCCCACCATAGGCGGCCACCAAATTGGTCAGGCAGGATTACCCCTTAGTGAAGTCATGCTGGCTGTCACCAAGCACCTTGTTGTTTTTCATGTGCCTTAGCATGCCTTCCAGGAGAATCTGCTCCAAGATTTTGCCAGGCACAGAGATGAGACTGACTGGTCTGTAATTCCCTGCATCATCCATTTTCCCCTTCTTGAAAATGGGGGTTATATTTCCCCTTTTCCATCGTCGGGAACTTCACCTGACTGCCATGATTTTTCAAATATGATGGAGAGTGGCTTAGCAACTTCATTCGCCAGCTCCTTCAGGATCTGCGGATGGATTTCATCAGGACCCATGGACTTGTGCATGTTTCAGGTTTTTAAGATGGTCTCGAACCAGATCCTCTCCTACAGTGGGCCCAAGGTCTTCATTTTCATATATCTTGTATCACATTACTTTTCTGAACTTAGAAACCAAAACTACCCGTGCAAAGTGCCAACATGTTCAGATCCAATGAAAGGCAAATAATATCCTTTCTCTTTTCAGTAATGAGTAGATTAAACACATCTAAAGACCTAAACATGATCACTTCCACAGCTTCTTCCTTGTGAAGGAAAGCCATAAAGCACCACTGTCTCTGATTTTCTTTTAGTACATTGAATTATAAAGTCCTACGCTCCACTAAAAGAAATGGTCACAACCCAAAGTCCCACTTTCGAAATTCACTTTGTAACAGGAGCACTTAGAAATGCAAGGGACACAAATTGCCCTGAGATCATCCCTTCTCATATCTTCTCATTAAAGACTACTGTTATTACATTTAGGTTTTGTGCACTGATATTACATTGCTATTATTCGCCATATTAAGAAACCTAATTGTTTTTCAGGTTATTTCCAAGTCTGTGCTCATTCACCTCTAAACTTCTCATGTCGACTCATGTCATATACTCATTTATTCTAAATTATTTTAAGTCAATTAAAAGACTTTTCCAGTCTTAGATTCTTGCCTGAAATCAGACTACATCTCACCTTGTCTAAGCCCTAGACAAATTGTCTTGCCCTTAATGCCAGAGTTCTTTAGATTAAAATAAAATATCATACAGTAATCCATTAATGTGGGATAGAATTTATTACATTCAACTTTAAAATCCTTTCCCTGGCCTCAGTATTTCTTGGGTTGAATAGATTATTCCAGTGTACTAATGATACTGATATTGGGTTTCCTTCAGACAGTGATCTGGAGTTATTCTGAAGCTGGATTACTTCATTCTCTAACCACATGGAAGGCAAGGAAATAGATATATATACACACATTGAAGACATACATGATCTAGTAGTTCTTTCTCAGCACTACCACTTAATGTTTATCCTGTGAGTCATTTTTTTTCAGCACTAGATATCACTTGCGAATTACATCTGTACTGCAGACTCCACTTGCTAAGTTAAAATCTTGTGAAGTTGCCTCATTATACCTTACCTTATCACACATCCCATCT